GCTTTTGAAACGGCAAGACGAAGGGCGTCGAAATGGTTAATAGTCGAGGTCATGGGTGGTAAACGACCTTAACCTGGTTACCTCTTTCTTTCCTCTGCTTCAGGCGGTAATCAACAGCATCCTTGAACGTTCACGTGCCACCTCTTCAGCAAACGACGATGCTACCACTACTGTTACTGCAAACTGAAAGCGATTGATAATGCCAATGCGGGGGAAAAATATGCACATCGTTCGCAATAATTGCGCTTGCTACACGCAGACATTGCATTTTAGCGAATTCCAACAGTAAACCCACTTCAGAATTTTGGATCAATGAAAAAAACTATAAGAATAGTTAACACACAAACGCGCACAAGAGAAATAATTACTAAATGTTGGATTCTGAGTTGGAGCCACGTTTTTTGTGGATTTTTCCAACATTTCGTAAACATACCTGTTCACTTTGTCAGAAAGGGGAGTAACCTGATACTGAGCCATGCTCAACATTTCTCCACACCGCGAGAGCCTTAAATGTCAAACAAACTAAACGTGACGACATCGATAAAGAGTGAGATATAAAGCGCAGATATTTACGTTGATTATTGTCATTAACGTAATAACGGCAATTCCGCTACTTATTCCTCAGCGAGTTTATTACTTGCGTTAAGCGCTTTTTACTCGCGCAGCATACACCTGTGCCTCTGTGCGAGCCACCATGCATTCCGCGCAGTTGCATCGCCGACTGACCCCGGATTTGTTTGAGGAAGAGTGCCAAGATTATCGAGAGAGATCGGCGGACTAACGACGCTTCGAACTGTAAAGGTAACAGGCCACTTTTGAGTCTCCTCGCGCACCATCGACATAACCGCTCATGAGCACTTTTTTATCTTTCACTGTCTTTTCAAGGAAGCTGGAAAAGTACGCCGCATATGCAAATTGCTTTCAAGCGATGGTGTCAGGTGGTAATTGTCCGAGGTTACGGGTCGGAGGTCGCGTTAACATCTTTACCGCAATGCCCGGCCGATAATTATCGCACCTCTAGTGGCTCTTCATCTTCTCTCATCCCGTAAGTGGGACTACTGTTGGCCAAGAAACGACTTGCAGCTGACACTTTCACTAACACGCTGCTTCAGACATCGAACTTGGAGCACTTGTGCAGTTGCTTGATGAAAGATGTCATGTTCATGGTCATCAACGAGACTTTGCCAACGTCGCTGTTCGTCTACTTTTTATTGCCCTATACGGTTTTTACATTTTTTTTCCTTTTTTTTTTTTAACATAGAAATGCCTCTTCCGCGTTCTCTCAATCATTTCTTCTTGTGACGCGGCTGCTAGATGAAATGTCCTCCCAGAAATTCTGCATTTAAGAGAACTTCGTATCTCAATAATAAAAGTACACGGAGAAAAATAATTTTGCTCTTTTAGCAAAATCGTGGTTGCTACCGCATATTCGTAGTGACATCAAAACAATTTAGTTGACGTAACTAATTTTACAAATTATTCAGAGCAGAAGTGGTTTGGTTGGAAAATAGATCAAATTTGTTGAGTGTATTTGTCCTAAGAATCACGTTAATTTGCTATTGATGCAAAATAATATATCCTTAGCAAATTTATTTGGTATCGGAGCAAAACTGCAATTGCTTATATAAATCCATCATGGTTCTTATAGCAAAATAATTTGTAGATTCGGCAAATTATATCCAGCAAATAGTGATCAGTACTCTTAGCAAATCTTTTTGTTGTCCATATAATAAAAAAAGATTTAGTCCAGCAGAAAATTTGCTGGGCCAGCAAATTATTTTTCTCCGTGTATCAATTTCAATGTTCTATAACAGTACGGCATCCTATCTATCTTTTTTACGTATAAAAGGAAACTGCAAAAATTAAAAAAATATTGGTAATATTTTTGCGTTGTTTAGCCGAGGGCATACGAAAGCAGAAGCCGTCTCAAAAGTCTTTCGAAATACCTATAACGTCAGATGTATACTGGGATGTCCCCAAGGGGATGTGGACCCCTTTTCGTGTCGGCAAGCTCGAGATCGTGACTCAGCAGCGGAATCGAATCTCCAGAGGCTCATGTTTCTCGCCTCGAACAGATCCGCTGCCAACACCTTGAACTAGAACGAATACAGAAAAAAAAAACTGCCGCATTCCCTAAATTCCCAAATCTGAAACGTTATGCGTGAAATGAATATCCCCGGCGGAACTATGCATCACGACTTCTTTGTGAGTAAGATCGTATTGGTTCGTAAATATTTTGAATATATATTTAATTTGGAACGCGTGCGACGCGAATCGTTGATCGATAAGTCCCTGAAGGTGGTGAAGGAGGTTACTGTGATGAAAAATCGCACGCAAACTAAACAACAATTCAATTTACGAAGCATCGTAACTTTGCTTGTGTGCGTGTATGCATACAGCATACGACTGCTCGACTATGTATTTATTTAAAGGTTATTTCTTAAAGCAGTTGTAAAATTAAAATTAAAATATCTGCCAAAATTAAAGAAAGAATCGCTGTATATCCTTCAATACGGATGACCTGATTTCCCTCGAAATATCTTCTTCGTGGTAATTCAACTGCAGCTTCGTGTCTTTAGTTGGGACGATTAATCAGCGGGGACCTCGCCAAAAATAATTCCGGAAACGCAAATTCGCACAGCTTCAATATCAGAGACGATGCTCCTCTTTCATAAGCGATCAACAAGTTGAATATAACTGAAACGCCGTTAATAAAGCGATGAAAATGATAAATCGCAACGGTTCCACCCCCATCCGAGCACCGTATTGCGTTATTAAAACTTTACTAATGGGCAATAATAAGCACCAGCCTCGGCCAAGATTGATATTAAATCGTAAACTGCTTCGTCCTCATTTATCATTATCACGATATGCAGGTCCGTTGAACTCTTTAAATCTTGAATCCACAAAGGATCCCCGCCGAGCGAATTTTTACACGTTGCAGTTTAAGAACGATTGTTCAAACAATCATTCTCGTTTTAATATTTTCCTTTCAAATTTTCCCTGTATTTAAAATTAATTGATTGGTAATGTGAAATTTAACAAACCGCCTTTTTGTTCAATTATTAATCTATTAATAACCAAGAAGATGTTTATTTTTTTAATAATTGTTTTGACATTATATTAACAATATTTAACGTACTATCAATGTCAATTTTGCAAACATGTAATTTCTCTTAAAAGTAGAAGCATCGCCAACTGCGAGAGAATAAAACTTCATGACACACGGCAAACGCAAATGTGTGATCCCACGATAATCGTCATCCGGAAGATCACACATTCGCCCGATAGTCGAAAGGGCTCGCCGTTGACGAACCAGGTCCTCTTCAAGGATATCTGAGGGTGTAAAAGGGGGTGTCACGCTGCTGGACCGGGAAAAGTGATTGATCGTGTTTCGCCGAAAGACAAGAGCAGAAGACTCGAGGCAGAACCGGAGGGAAAGACGACGAAAGTAGAGATAGCGTAAGATGGCTGTAGATGAGAAAAGAGAGAAGGATGGAAGTTCCCGAGCGTCGTCGATGATAAAGACGAGGAGGTTGTGTCGCAAAACGAGGAGACAACCCCCTCTAACCTCCTCTACGTCATTCAGCGGCCCCTTCAACCCCTCTGGACTCTTCCAGATTCCACTCAAAGCTCTGCTCCTCTACGTGAAGCGACATGAAGTGGCCATAAGAAAAATAGAAATAAGCCGTGGCACATCCGAGCAAACGAAAAACCAAGTCGAGAGAGAAGAGAGAAAAGAGAAAGAAAGAGAGAGAAAGAGAGAGAGAGAAAGAGATCTGGTAAAAACGAGCGACGCGTTTTCAGCCTTCCTGAACCATCTGAACGATTCTATATCATTTCTACTTTCTTCGTACTTGACACACAGCTGACACATTTAATCAAGAAATTTTTAACAATACATAAGAGACATAGGAATTTAAATTATTGTCGTAAAATGTCTTGAAAACACGTGGCATTATGTTAAGCTCACCCAGCCTGTGTTCTACAATGTCGTTCTATGATATTCCGATACTGTTATTTCCTTGGACCGTTTATATAGTACAGACAACGTAACTTAAATTTACCGTGCTGTATTGTCGTAGCAAAGCAAAACACAGTGAGTATGCTCTTTGCGTAATGACTCGGCGTTTTATATTCTCTATGCCACGCAGCTGATCGCGAGTGAACGTACTTGACCGAGCACGCCAAGACTGGTGCATTAATATGAGTAGAATATAATCAAACGACAGATCTATTACTATTAATTAAGCTGATTCTAATTCCTTTTACGTAACATGGTTGGGTGCCTGTTAACATTTTCGAACTGGTACTGAGTGAAAGAAACGGTGACTCTTAATCGCCCGTTAAAAGAGAAGGGGTGGCTTTTACTAATACATCACATATATTACTTTATTAATGAATATATATATATATATATATATATATATATATATATATATATATGTGTGTGTGCGCGCGTGTATGTGTGTGCATGTGTGCGTGCATATGTATACATATGTTAATATATACACAAATACAGAAGCAATTACGGATACTAGATTATGTCCGCCTACGACAGGAATAGAACATCCATTACAATAGATCGATTAACATTCCGTTTTCATACAATATGAGCAAATGGAGAAATAATGAACTATTATAGTAATGCCTGCTGGTCACGACAAATAAATTAGTATTGCGATTACCACCGCAATATTCAATATCAATAGTATTAACATACTTTACCATCGTTTCTCTTAGCATTGACTTCGGCCATAAGATGGATTTCAGAAGCATGGAGGCGGGTTAAGGAGATCCGTAGGAGTGACTCTACGGTTATAAGTACCTTCGAGTATGCCCCATAAGGGAACAAGATCCACTGTTTCCGTGCCAGGGGTTGGTCTCATGCCGGCGCGGAGTGGGGTTGACTCTGGAGAAGACGCATGACGAGGAAGGGGGCTCTCCGCAGCGGCTCAAAGCCAGCCGGCGCGAACGGAGCTGGAGGGAGTTAGAAGCAACCAGAGTTGCCAGACGAGTTTCTGCCGACGCAGGACGAGCTCGCTTTCATGGCTCTCCGACGAGATAGCTCTTTTGACTGAATTTCTACATTCGTGAGAGACAGTTTACGCGCGAGAGTAGTGACGAGAGTGCGCGCAGCACACAAACTATCCATCCGGACCGAGATGTTCCATTTGTCAGAATTTTTTACAAAAAAATCACATTGACACTTGCTTTGCATCAACAGTCCATTTTAGTGGGTGTTTATGAAACACACAAGTGCGTGTTATCAAGAAACGAGGCAACCAGTGACATATGTAAAAATTAATAAACTACAGGTGTCTGGCGTTCGGTGACAACCGTAAAGTAGTATAGAAGAGAAGCAAGAAGTTGCTGCACCTGCCGCAGTTGTACTCGCGGCGCCACTCACGTGTTGCATGTGTGCCTTGGTTATCCATCATGGTCGCGAACTAGGAACAGCTCCGATTGGTCGGTTTGGTGGTCACGTGGTATGGTAATTGGGCTCCGGTGGGCGGGAAGGAGCGAACGAGGTCGTGGAGGATCGCGAAAGTGGCGGAAGGAGAAGAGAGAATAAGCAGCTGTCCACCGGGAGACCTGTGCTCGTCGTGGCCCCGCTCTTCCCATTTCTTTTCTCTTTTTCTCCCTCTCCCCTTCTTTCTCTTTTTTCCTCCTTTCGAGAAAACGTCACCCCTTTTCGCAAGAGGCGGTGAGATGCGGACGATGGACCACAGTGCAGTGCTGTGCAGTGTGAGCTTATGAGAATAGATACTAACACGAAATGGTGTACCACGCGCGGATCGAAGAATTGATAAATAAAGGTAATGTAATAAGAAGGCGGAAGTGAAGTGCGCGCGATCGTCTGCTATTCCTTCGTTTTTCTCTTGGACACAGCGGGTGTGTATGTGTGCGCGCGTGTGTGTGTTTTTCACAAGGAAGTACTCACAAACATGAGTTCTTTCTTGATGAATCCATCCGCTGCTGGTGGATATCATCACCACCAGCATCAGCAGCAGACTGGAAATCACCACTTGACCGCCACGTCTGTCATGGTCGATCCGAAATTTCCTCCCAGCGAGGAATATAGCCAGAGCAACTATATACCCTCGACTGGGGCGGATTTCTTCGCCGGTAGCAATAGCGGTCATCACTTGAGCCATCCGCAGTCCCACCAGCTACAGTACGGCTATCATCAGCATCACCATCAGGCGGCGTCGACTCCTTACGGCGCTTCCTCCGCGGTGCAATTAAACGGCGGGTACACAGGATACGGCGGATATTACGGGCCTCACCATCCTCATCATCAAGTGCACGCGGTCCATCATGCCAGTTTACATCCTCATCATCATGCGGTAGGTGCTCTGGCGATGCCGCCGGAAGCTCAGCAACCACCGCTCACGTGTCCGTCATCGATACAAAGTCAGCAGCAACAACAGCAGCAGCAACAACCACCCGTGCCGACGTCAACTGTCGTCGGCTCCACTCCTTTGTCGCCGTCTATAATGCAGAATCACGTGCAACCAGATGCCCTTCAGCATCATCAGCAACAACACGAGAATAATGCTTGCAGTCCGACTGGCTCGAGTCAAATGCATCGAGACAATTCGCCTGATCTTCAGACACAGTCGTCGTCCCAGCAATCTCAGCATATACAAAGCAGCCAACAGCAGACACCGCAACAACAGCAACAACAGCACCATGTGGAAGATGGTTTGGATGCGGATGATATGGAAGATGATCAAATGATGGACGGTTCACCGGGAATGATGGAGGAGGAAGAGGAGGATGAAGATAACGGAGATCGCATGATTTTCCCGTGGATGAAAAAGATTCATGTTGCAGGAGTCGGTGAGTAAATATTTGTAAATTATTCCTCGCTGTTATTCCCGCAATTTGTCGAGTTATATTACTATAACTTTAAGCGTTGATGCTTACGTTCATCTTACTTTCATTATTTATATTACGTTTTTTATTTATTTTATTTTACTGCACTCTTAGCTGTGTTGTGCATGGGGATTTTGCTTCACACATATAATATTTCATTAATCTTGAAGCTGCTTTTATTCACCACAAATATAAATATATAACTTGATTGGTAGGACTCTACTTAATCATCTTAATCTTATTACATCCTACAATTAATAAATATCATATATTATTTGTTATATTGGAGGCTACGTTCTCTGTCATAAAAAAATATAATCATTCTTTATGAGAAAGCATCCGTCGGCACCTAAATACATTCTCATAATATGCATGATATTCTCTAAATTATATAATATATACGGGATAGCTATATTCCGTATGTTATATAATCTAAATAATATTATGTTAAATTTGTATGTGTACATATAATCTATTTATTATAACTCTCTCTTAAAAGTATAATAAAATATACATTCAGTCGTAATCTGTGGTAAAATTTAGTCACGATCACGGCGCAATCATGAAAAAAGTGGTTCCTCACGTAAAACAGCGTTGAAAATGCGTAAACTTTCTCTTACGAAGCTTTACTTACGAGAAAAACAATTTTGTATATTTGCCGAATACATGTGTACTTGGCTACGGCACAGTTCGTTCAACAACAAAGTATAAGTACAATAAATAGAATAGCTAAAAATCGAATTGTCTTAAAATTATGATACTTACAAATGTATTTAAATAGTTACAAATATATTTAATAGTTACAAATATATTTAATAGTTACAAATATATTTAATAGTTAGAAATATACTTAAATGGTTACAAATATATTTAAATAGTTACAAATATATAGAAATAGTGGTCTATAGAATGATAAACATGGACTGTTTCAACCAATACACGTGTATTTAACGAATATTTAATAGTGATTTTCCCGAAAACAAAGCCACGTAGGAAATACTTTTTACGCGAAGAAATATCTCATTTGCGACGGGCCCTGTACAAATATGTTTACTTTTTACATTAATTTTCAAAGAATTTCAAAAAAAATCCATTTTGCCTAAATATTAATAAAAACCCAAATACAGTTAATTAACGTATTGACACTATTACTGATTAATTCTCTTTTATTTTTGCTATTCTAACGTGATGAATGAGTACAAATCGAGACATTCATAGGTTCAAATAAATACTTATCCCGGGACAAAAGCGTGTTAAGTTTAGAATACATTCTTTTCCTGAATCCGGCTAACCTTTCATTCTAAACATGGTGCCGAGGGTGCCTGTTTGTATATCTAACAGATAGACGTCGTATTGTGTGCGCAAGGTGACACTTTTTGGATCGCCAGAAGACTTATGAGCTGCAATTTATCGTTGCACCTTGTGATCACCTGTGCAAGGTTTTACACGGCGACACCTCATATTATAGATGAATTCCGTTACGCCTAATATGTCTTCATCCTTTATACAGTAGCGAACATGCGCCACAAGAATGGGATGTCCACAACACAATTCAACACTGTGGGCAACAATAAATTTCGAAATTGGACACAGAGATTCTATCATATTTTAAGTAGACATTCACCGTTGTGTAAGGTTAGTAGCGCTTGGAACTTAGAATAGGTGCCGGTAATGGTGTAATGCCCCTGATCGTTATAATCAAGGCAATTAACGCGAATGTAGTTCTCCTTTCATAATTAATCAGACAGCTACTACCAGAACTAATATACGCGTGCTTCCTATCCTCGTGAAGATAAAAACACGTTTTGAGCGTAACCCCGACACGCGGGTATATTAATTTACCTCTCGCAAATTATAAATGTGTAGTACACCTCTAATGCATTTGTTTCAAGGGTTTGTAATATTCATACACCGACGCCGAGCCAAAAACTATTTCGCAGGTACATAAGAAATTGCCAGAGGTAATTTTTGCAACGTAATATGCCTTCAGAATTAGACTGACTTTGCAGCCACAAAAATTTGTATTCCGCTTAACTGCGGAAAGTGCTGCTCATTCCAGCTTGCAAGTATTGCCTTTGAGACCGTTGTACCTGATAAAATCACTGTAAAACCGAATAGCCATAATTCATGTTTCCAGGTAAAATTTTCGCCAATGAAAACTTATCATTTTTTTTGACACTTAATGCTAAAAATAATTGTTATCACGTGTAAAGCAAATAAGAATGTAATGCTGACTCTTGATACGCTGTCTATCTTTTAATTGAGACGAATTATTCATCTGTAATTAGTGGAGATATATACTCGTACATAAAAAGAACATCAAAATGTAAGTCTAAGAGCTTATTTTTTAAAAGGAAGCTTATTTTTTAAAGGGAAATTTTTAAAAGGCTCGCTGAATAGCAATTGCAGCCATTGCTTTGCCGAAATTCAAAATTATGAATTCTTAATTTAAATGGCCCGTTAAATATCTGTGGTAACTGTTTTCATATAATGACGGCAAACCTTAGCGTTAAAATTTCATTTCTAAAAGTGACATTTACGTTTATAGCGAGTTCACAATAAACTGTACATACAATATTACAAAAGAGCTACACTTTTCATGATACTACGCTTTATGCGATTTAATATTCGAAATCCCTGAGCATTGGTATGCTCGTCCGTCGGGCTGTCAGAAACTGCAATCTCTACCCTTTGGTTGTCGAAGTATGGTCGCCGGACGTCGAAGTTAAAAGGGGCCTTCGCGAGACCGACGGTCAGCTCGGAATGGAATGTGTCTGAACAGATTCTAGGCTAAACTCGTTCCCGTGTTTCCTCTATCGAGCAGAACGGACCACCAAGAACTGCTACTAGCGTGACTCACAAATATTAACATAAACGTTGCATAGCAAGATATCGTTCCGAATACAGTTGTTCAATCACTTTTTGTGTTTCGGCGATATATCTCTGATTGCTTCTTTAATTACTTTGACATTCTACAGTTTATTGCTATTATAATTGTCATCAAATAAAGTAGGGCAGAATACGAGTTCTCAGGCACAGAAGTAATAGTACAGCAAAACCAACAGAAATGTTGGCGACCGTTCTCCAAACAGCGTGGAAGAAGCATTTTATAATTGTACCTGTGCGTAGTTCTCTGGGATATTTCTTAGGTAATTCTGCTAATCGTTAATCAATTGTATAGGCACAGTTGTATTTTTCTAATAGATTCAGAAAAATTCTTTAAAAATTACACGTCCGATATGGTAATTATCAAATAACTTGACCTTGAAATTGTATTGATGGTTGTCAGAGATGATCTATTGTACCTGCGTATCTTTAGATGTTGCTTAGCGGGACTAATGCGCATGTATGCCTCACACTTTTTATCCTCGTGAATTTGCATATGCGTATTCTGCCTCCGCAACTTTGCCGTCGTATCTAGCGGATTGATCAGATTACAAAAGTCACTTCAGCCGACTTTGATGCTATTCAAAACGGCCGTGACGTGACAGATAGTCATATGGTAAAAATGTTATTCGCATAAAATGGCTGCAGACATCAACATGAGAAATATTTAATACGTATGATAATAATTATACTTAATATAGTCAACTTTTGTTTCTTTCGCGCGTTCTTCATATGTTTGCACCTTCGCACTGCATCTCAATGCTGATAAAAAGATTTTTATAGTCACAAAACTTGCTGCTAGATTTCTAAAAATTAACACATTAGAGAAAGAAAGAGAGAGAAAGAAAAAGATTTGCTAATCAAAAATATGGAAAATTTTTTCTATAGTAAACAAAATAATGAAAATTTCACAGATTTAAATAAAAGAAATTATATATTATACACAAAAACCGGCCGTAATTGAGCTACAACCATAAAAGAAGTGATTTCTTATAAAAAAATAAGTCGAAAATATGGAATAGAATTGTTTCTTATGAATTTTTATTTTAGAGAAAATCAGTTCTAGATAACTATTGAATACGTACGCGTGTATACTGTTGAAATTAGCCTACATTTATCGTCCTACAGATCATTCTATCCATTCTTGTGTATATAAATATCATGATGTTTAGACGGTTTCATTTCAGTTGTGTTTCTATCTTGTTATACGTACTTATTTATATTATACTTTGCTATTCAATAAGCCTAAAGACATGTAGCTAAATACACGTGTATTCACCGAATATTTAAAATAGATCATGTCGAAATAGGCATTTGGTAAGAGAACAAATTTGATTCTATATTTCCGATTTATTTATCAGCACACACAATCGCCCTTTTTATATTTATAATACAACAAAGGTCGGTATCTATATTATGTAAAAAGTATGTGTATGTGTATGTAAAAAGTAAACCAGTGTTAAAATAGAAATTACTAGTTTTACATATAAACAAGAGGACCAAAAATACTAAAGAAAAAGTTATGTAACAAGATTACTATTTTTGGAGTCATATCTGTATGATGCAATTTTATAAAGCATCGTATATAATAATCCTGCAAAAATTGTCATGTATATATATATTTATGTATATATATATACTTATTTATTTATTTATTTACTTATATTTCAGGTCACAAATAATATATTTGAGAAAGCGATAATTTGGCAATATTTATAATCTCGCTATACTAACTAAAGTATTTTTATTTCTATTTTCTCATTACAGCGAATGGTTCGTACCAACCTGGAATGGAACCAAAGCGACAGAGGACCGCCTACACCAGGCATCAAATACTGGAGCTGGAAAAGGAATTTCACTATAATAGATATCTGACGAGACGGCGACGGATCGAGATAGCTCATACCCTGGTCCTGACCGAGCGGCAAATAAAAATTTGGTTTCAAAACCGCCGTATGAAATGGAAGAAGGACCACAAACTACCGAATACCAAGAACGTGCGCAGAAAGAACGCGAACGGCCAAGCGCCGGCAGCGACGACGAAGCCCGCAAAGACTTCAGCGACGCGAGCGAAGTCAGGCACGGGTAACAATAACAACCAAAGAAAAAACAACAATTCGCCTTCCAGCGGTATGGAGAACAGCTTGGACTCCAATATCGGTCTCGATATGGGCGAAGTTCACGGGGTCAGCTCCAGTCTTCCTCATCCCAGCGTAGTTCATCCTGGCTTTCAAGGTCACCCTCATTCTCTGGCTCATCTCCAAGCGCAGCTGAGTCATCATCACGTGGGTGGAATGATGGACGGTCCGACGGGAGGACCGTTGGGACACATAGGTTCCGGAAGTATCAGTCCTCTTGCTCCGGCTACCAGTCCTTCCGGTTTGTCGCAAGTATCAGCTCCTGTACCACCATCAGCGTCAAAAAATGATTACGGACTCACGCCCCTGTAACATCTATTTTGATAGACGAATATATATTTGACTATATTCGATGACATAACTTTCGGCATTCGATTGACGGTCTTTCGCCGCGGATAATTTCTTGCTTTCCTCACTCGATCGGATATTTATTGTGAATTGTACAGTTTGAGTTTCTCTGACATTGAAAATACCTACCAGTATGGAAAATATTGAGAGCGATTCGCGTGCAGGTAGGGTAAGTATTCATATGGACTTCAATCATAAAATGAAGATCCATGCAAAACAGTAATTTCAACAAGATTATTTTTTAAATTTATAATAAGTCAAGGTGTTAATTTTATGATACTTCATGGTACGTAGAAATAACATTTGAGAAACTGATTATAAAAATAAAAAAAAGAGTTTTATAGCAAAGAAGCAGATAATGGTTTCAAGATGGAACATAAAATAGTATTGATTATCGAATCTGACCGGTCTGTTTAGAAAGATAATAACAACATTGATTGTTGGGATACTTATTTTTGTTTCATCTGGTTAAACAGGACAGAAATTAATTCGACAATCTTAAATTTTGTGAGTGTGCAAATTTAATAAACGCGTAAAAAATAATTGGAAGCTATGTCATTGTTATATATATTGCAATATGGTAAAATCATCATAATTGTTCAATTATCATGATTTCAACACCACATTAGCAATTATAAAGTTTAACCAAAGATTTCTGATGTTGCGCGTTTCGGTTTGCAAGTGCTAATTAATTCTGTAATTATCGGTATTATTGAATGTACGATGTAATGGAGAAAAGTACGGTGCATGCACGTCAATAAACATTTGTTTGATTGAAATTATGGAATACTTTTTTTCTTTTTTGAATTTCCAAGAACGGATTTCAAAAAGAAATAGCACATAAAATTACGTCATGCTGATAACAATACATATGCGCGCAAACGAAATCGTGAGGTCGAATGTGACTTTTGTCAAGTAACATAGTCTTCTCATAGAGATTATTAATTGCGAAATTATACTCGTGAATTAACTTCTTAACGCCTTCCTAATGCTTTTCTTATATCCTTCAACAACAGTATATTTCTTGTCAAAACTTGTGATTCTCAAAACATTAATAGTCATCCATTCATTATTTGCATAATGATACCAATACCCGAAGAGAAATTAGTATTTTATGACATTGGAATTGTACATATAACTCAACTTTGTGTATATATATATTAGCGTAAAGAAGATTTTATTGCAACATGATTGAAATAGTGTTTATATTTCGTATATTATGATCTAAGTGTCGATATTAACGTTTTATATCATAGATAAAAATGAAAATTGTGTTTGCGACGAAAATTTTGGTCATTGTGATACGATGGCAAGATATTGGTAATTTGGATGTATCTTACATCATGTTCTTTTTTCTAAAAATAATAGTTGTTGTCCATTTGTAGTAATTTAATTATTGTTTTGAAATCAAACATCTTCAAAATATTCCTTCGAATAACCTTAATTTAAAGGCTATTCACGATTTTATCTTTCTGTAAGGCACGTTGTAAATAATTCGAAATGATAGTATATATTTTTACCGGAAAGAAGTGAGGAATGACCAATAATAATTAGGACACAATTGCACCGTGATTAAATCGGAAATCGTACTATTAAGCAAGTAGTAATCAAATAATTAATGCACAGAATCGCTGTGACGATATACCAAAACGATACTACTAAATATAAGATGCAAAGTTAAACTTTAAGGTATATTAATACCTTAAAGTACCGAGTTCGTGTAATTAGTAGAGCGTAAGAAGTAAATGTATGAGTTTCGAAAATGTTCTGTAAGTGTGACATATTATATCCTTTGCTATAATTATTCATTGTATATAGCATGTACGATATAAGTATCAAACAAACTGGGCACATACTGATGCTTATGTTTATATCGCTCGTAAAGATTGATGAAATACACAATCGTGAAGTAAATAAACAAGTAAATAAATGTTTCATAATTTACAAGAACATCGTGTTTCCAAATCATGTTCTCACATACACCTGAATATATCAACTATTATCCATGACTATTATCCATATTTTTATTGCTATAACAACACTCTTTTTATGTTAAATGATTTTCTATGTGCTCCAATATTCTTTTCTTTACAATTTCTTTGCACTATTTATTATTCTGTCAGCAAACGCCGCTAATCAGCCAAGGCTAGTGCGACTTATTATTTTAAGTTGACACTATCTCTTTCTCATTATGTATATTCTCATTATGTTACATTCATAATTTACCATTTTCATTCTAACTATGATAAGAGTTAAACTAAAAACAAAATCAATATTGTACGTAAAAATAAACTAAATAACAATAAATAAATTGTTGATATCGACAATTTTACTTGTAATTGATAATTTTAATAAGTGAGATAAAAATAGGATAAAATTTTATTCAGGATGTAAGAAACTGAATACAATAAAACTATTGCCACTAGGCAATTGGGTTAAATAGTCGAGTTAAAATGTAGATAAAGATTTTATTTTAAAATAATGACCCACACAAAAATCAACATAAAAAAATACAAATTACATTTTATAAAATTTGGATTTTTTTCAATGCAATATTGTTTATATACATTGCTTGAATATTTATAAATTTATATACTAACTTTATACACATAACTTGTAATATTTAATATTGATATTTTTTAGTTAATATTTAAAGTTTGATATTTTTAATATTGATATCAAATTAATTATTAGCATTTTTGCATTTGACACAATTGCAGTGGTCATGACCAAATGAAGATCAGCAATGTAATTTGTGAGATGGTCAAAAGTATCATACCAGATACACTTCAGCTTAATAGAAAAATAAGCACTCTTGAATGCTTACAATATCATAATTTACAGTTATCACAGAAGCATTATGGTGTATCATAGATATCCACTATTTCTTGTGCTCCCTTCTCTTCCCATGTAATTGTGTGGGCGCCCATGCGTGCGACGTTGCCGTGGTAGCGCATGCGCGAGCATGTGCGTGATTGCCGCAGCCCGGGACAGGGGAAATCCCGCAGCAGCTCGAAAAGAAGGGTGGCACCCGGAAAGCGAATGGGGGGCCGCTTGTACAGCCCTGCCTCCGCCCATGCCATGAACATCCCAGCCAACTACCTAGATACGTTGCTACCAACCCGATTCCAAAGTCAGACATGTCTGTTGTGAGAGCCAAGATCGCTGTTCACACACACATCTACAGATTTCCTATCAAATCATATAATTTTTTATGAATTTTTAACATACAACATGAGCTATGTATAATTGCTGTTGACACAATTCTTGACTTCTTTACACATTTAATAATATTTTATTTTCATTCAGAAAACAAAATTTTGACAAAGTAAAGAGCTAAATAATTTTGCCAATCGTCTATAGCTAAATAATACTGTTGCACTTTGTTCCCTATAAAGTAACTTTATGGAGTACAAAAATAATCCCAATTAATTTTGCAAATCATTCAGATTAAACGTGAAGGGAAAAGAAATAACAGAGTTACGTCTGATTTTTTACAAATGGCTATAAGTTTATAAATGTTTTATAGAATGTCTATAAGCTTATAAATGTATGCATCTCCAATTATGGAAATTACTATTTTCAAAAATAACAATGATATAATTACAACTGAGAAACGATCGAAGAAGCATCATCTATTATTTTTCGTAGCGCTATAATATAAGAAACACATTTTTAGGATGTAAGATATGACATGAAAAGCACTGTATAATCTTTAATATAATTCCGAAACATGTACGCGTTCTATCTATAACACGATAACACGATCAACAGCAAGTTTCCTACAAGCAAGTGGGGGATGGAAGTACACAAGAGCCGCTAATTACCAGATCTATATACTGTTGTCTGCTTGCTACCCGTGAGTAGTGTAGATGAACTATAAGTTCCGATGTTAGACACCTTCGCTAACTTCTCCTGAATGTGGATTGGCTGTAAATTATTGTAGACGTTTCGGTTAGGCTATTGTTCCAAAGCGAAGCAAAATACAGTACAAAATTGATTACACGTAATCGGGTCAATATATTAGGATTACCGATAGTAAAAGTTACTTGCTGGGAGCTCGGGCGCAAAATAACCGCATAAAACAGAGAGACCATAACACATTTTGTTGCAATAACAAAATTAATCTTGCGTAATACATTTTACTTTATAGTAACTTTTTTTCGCTATGATTTTAACGGAAACACTGTGCTTATTCGCTTGTGTGTTGATTTGTTATTTTTTTCACAGGAAATAACTTCCTCATCGGTTATACCGCGATTCACTGGGCACTCTTTGCATTTGCATATAGGTATCTAACCGACGCATTTCTTGACCTTCTTTCTGTTCACTGTCGTTCACTGTCGTTACACCTACGCCTCGCGCACCGCATTCGTTGTCTTAAGACAAATGATGCATATATGCTGGTCATTTCGCCCATATCCGCATCACAATCGCTCCGATCTACAACCTGTATGGCTCTGAACGTAAAGTGGGTGGTCGTAGAATTGCTCGTTTAGCGAGTACAGAAACAGACAACGAGAATTTCGCACGAGCTACATCGTACACCGTATCTCTATACTATCATCGAGACCTAGCCATTGCACGACCACACATTTCGCATTGAGCATATCATCGATATACGCTTCCGAAATATATATATTTTCTACATCCTATTTTCTATTTTCTATATATCTAAGGTATTACACATACACACACACACACACATACATACATACAGGGTGTCTCACACTCTCCTCCGGGCATTTAGTGGGGACATAGAACAGGTGAACATAAAAGTCCTATATTTTGCGATATTCGCAATAATTATCGAGATATTAATTGCAGAAAATTTGTGAATGATCATGCAGGATATGGTAAATGAGTTATAATAGCGACGACTGCCGTCATGTACTTATACTTTAAGTCAAATTGAACAAAAAAGTTCTCTACCATTTTGCAAATAATCACATAAATTTTTAATTATTAATTAAAGAAGATGAGCGCATTATCACGCAAAATCATGCAATAATCTTCTTTAATTAATAATTGAAAATCTATGTGATTATTTGGAAAATGGTAGAGGACTTTTTTGTTCAATTTGACCTAAAGTATAAGTACACAACGACAGTCGTCGCTACTATAACTCATTTACTATATTCTGCATAATTATTTACAGATTTTCTACATTTAATATCTCGATAATTATTGCGAATATCGCAAAACGATATAAGACTTTTATATTCATCTCAACCTGTCCCCACAAAATGCCCTGAGGAGAGTGTGAGACACCCTGTATATATATAATTCTTTTGTTATATTGTTATTTTGTCTCGGAGGAAAATACTAACTTAAACATTCCATTGTGAGCACCGCTTAAATTGTAATTAACGTAAAATTATTAGAATTAAAATATTTTACCAAGAATAATTATAAAAATATTATTATTCAAATTTTTTTAATAAAAATAATAAAGATTAATAAAAATTATAATAAAAATATTCGAATACTATATATATATATGTGTGTAAATAATAAAATATACAAATAAATAATTCGTGATAAGAAATAAAAACAATACATAAAAATAATATATTCTTATATAACATTTAATATATTTTATTAAATATTGTATATTGAAATATGTCGCGTGTATTCCTTAGAAAAAGAAGAGAGAAAGAGAGGATGCGAGGGAGAGAGATTGATAAAATTTTAAATTGCGGTTATTCGCGTTCGAAAATTCCAAAAATGATGTAAGATAGATCTAGTGTGAAATACGCTGGTCTCCATCAGATGTAATTGGAGGGGATTAACGAGTCACGACTCCATTTATCAGCCACCGTAATTACAAAGCATCTCTGCGTCCCACCTCCTGGACAAGCTACCCTCACCCTCTCACGCGCTCACCGCTTCGCTTTCCGCTCGACGCTCGCTCCACCGACTGACTGACATTCCCCAAAGACAGTTTCGCATCTCAAATACACAGTCGCTTGTAACTAAAGATAACAGGCACCACCGTGTCATCGAAGGGCGCCGCCGTGAAATTAGATTTAAATCTGCCGCACAGACGTCCTAGTAGACGTCGCGCGGAAATGTTTGATCTCTGAGCGCCATTAATTGTCGTTTCTCGTTGAATGGAGATCGTAAACGGATAAAGAAAAGTTCGGGAGTATTACGAACGGATCCCCCGGTGGCTTATTTTGATTTCGAGAAACCTGATAATGAATCGACTGCCATAACATGCAGCACGGTAGCAATCTGGCGACACGCGTCGATGATCGAACGGGAGGCACTAAAAACTGACACGGACGGATACGTCCATCGTAGGAATTAATTAAAACGATCGGACCAAAAGAGGCATGTATTTTTATCTACGGCTGCGTCTCGATGACGCGCTCTACCTCCAAGAAGCTAGATATAAAAAAGAAAGAAGAAGTGTGCTGCTACTGTCATCACGTTCCACCGCAGATAATCTTCGACGCCAGTTTCAGTACATGGTGTCGTATATTTCTTACCGTTACTTTCGTTACATTCGACGTGACGTCTCATAAATATTTCCAGGGTGCGTAGTAACGATATGTGAATGACATTAATGTAAACACATGATCATTAAACTGGCACAATTCAGTGTTCAGCTCTAACGAGCTTTCCAACACAAGCGAGTTTTTTAAATTCGGACGGAATTGAAATTTGAGAAATGTGAATATACATCGATTAAGCAATTCCATCTCATCGATTATATCTACCTGTATCTTTCATAAAGAATGGTATATCTCTCCCCAGCTCCTTCGTGATAATGCTACCTCAAGCTCGCGCACCAACAACAAACACCACGAAGTGCCACTATTACGAGAAGCCGTCGACGGTACCTGTCGCTAGTCGCTGCCTCTGTATAGAAAAAGAAAAAGAGAGAAAGAGAGGAAGAGAGACGAAAACAGAGGGGGGAAGAGAAATAGAGAATGAGAACGACGGACTGGGCGGCGCAAAGGCTTCGGCTCGCAAGCCGCACGTTCATTAATCTTGATCGGATCAGTCGAGATAGCGGCGAGCTGTTTCGGAAACCCTCTCCTACCACCCTTCTCATCAAGTCCCCTAGTACCATCGCCTCCACCTTCTCCTTCACCTCCTTCTCGTCCTACGTATCCTTCAGCTTCTTTTTCTTCTGCTTCTCGAACTCTTTCCTACAGGACCCTGCCATCGGATCGGTTCACCCGAAAGTTAAGAGCGAGGAAACCTACGGAACAGATCGACAGTGCGCCGTGGCGGAAACGCCCGAAGATTTTAATTCCAATCCAGAC